AAAAGAAAGCGGCCCTTATGGTTTTTATTCCAGCTTCAAACAAATCTCGCTACATGGCTTTCCTACATCTTGAAAACAGAAATAACCTCAAAGAGAAAAAATCAGAGTTGCACAGAGGATAGGAGCTTTCCTTCTAGGGAAGGGAAAATGGAGTTTCACGCCGGATAATCCCAACAGCCCTGTTCTCTACCTTCAAGCGTACACAGCCAGGCCTCCACGGGCAGAACAATTTTCTGAGAGCAAATTTCAGGGGAGGCTTTGACCCCAGACAGAGAACGAGATCTTTTCTGGTTTCAATCAGGTCAAACTAAGGGCGGGGTGACCTCCTCTCTCTGGCCAACAGCCACACCCTAGTCTTGCGTGGTTGGTCTACTCCTCGCATACCTGGCCCCTTAAGGAACAGGAAGCAGCTGGTGAGGTGGAGGCCAGGGAGCGAGGGGCAAAGGGGTCTGGAATCAGGCTGCGGGATAGGCAGGCCTAGTCAGGTTGGGCCCTGTCAGCTACGTAGGAGTCTGGATTTTGTTCTGTGTGCTATGGGAAGCCAATAGGGAAATTTAAGCAGAAGAGGGACGAGCTCTTATTTCCTTTCTATCTGGCTGTAGTGTGGAGTATATTGCCGTGGGACCTACTCAAAATTGGAAAACCAGTTATGGCTGCTTTTACTTGTGTCTTGAAGTTGTTAAAAAGAATAATTGGCCGAGAACAGTGGCTCACACCTGTAATCCCAGCACTCTGGGAGGCCGAGGTGGGCGGATCACGAGGTCAGGAGTTCGAGACCAGCCTGGCCAACATAGAGAAACCCTGTCTCTACTAAAAATAATTTGCTGGCCGTGGTGGCATGTGCCTGTAGTCCCAGCTACTCAAGAGGTTAAGGCACAAGAATCGCTTGAACTCAAGAGGTGGAGGTTGTGGTGGGCCAAGACTGAGCCACAGCAGAAGTTGTGGTGAGCCAAGATTGAGCCACAGCACTCCAGTCTGGACAACAGAGTGAGACTCCATCTCAAAATAAATAAATAAATAAAATTCTTGTCAGGCTTTCTTGGCTTAAATAAACTCGATATTATCTCCAAGAAAGGTCTGGGGGTGATGCACCACAATTAGAAACAAAGGCTCTAGGCTGGGTGTGGTGGTTCATGCCTGTAATCCCAGCGCTTTTGGAGGCCGAGGCAGGCAGATCATGAGGTCAGGAGTTCGAGACCAGCCTGACCAACATGATGAAACCCCATCTCTAGTAAAAAGAAAAAAATTAGCCAGGCATGGTGGCACGCGCCTGTAATCCCAGCTACTCAGGAGGCTGAGGCAGGAGAATTGCCTAAACCCAGGAGGTGGAGGTTGCAGTGAGCCAAGATCACGCCACTGCACTCCAGCCTGGGCAACAGAGTGAGACTCCATCTCAATAATAATGATAAAAAAAAAAGAAAGAAAAGAAAAAGAAAGAAAAGAAAAGAAGAAACAAAGGTTCTAAAGCAGTGGCTTTCAACTTGGTTAGGGGGATGGTGATTCTTTCGCCATTCCCATTCCCATCCCAGGGGATATTTGGCAATCTCTGAAAACATTTTTGGCTATCACAAAAGTCAAATGCCTAGTCTAGATGCCCACTAGACTGGCATCTAGTATGTAGGGGGTGCTAGTCATGCTGCGATGAACAGGACAGCCCTCCTCAGAAAAGAATGAGCCAGCCACAAACATCCAACAGTGTTGAAATTAGGGAGCCCTGTTACAGAGTTGAGCTTACTAGATTTGGGTCCTAGCTCTCTCACTTACTAACTGTGTGACTGGGGACAAGTTACTTAACCTCTCTGTGATCTTCTCCACCCTTAAGCCCAATGCTTTCTCCTGCTAACACGAGATAGAAAAAGAAAATTGAAAGTCTGTCTACCCACCTACCTTACAAGGAGGAAGATCTGCCTAGTATAGCCAGGAAGAGAGGAAGGAAAAAAAAAAAACAGGCTAAGAGGCTTTTCCTATGCAGCCAGCAGGAAGAGGTACCACCTATCTCTAAGTCTCCTCTCTCCCACCATGGGAAATTGAGAAAGCATGAGGAATGCTTTAGGGAAAGGAATCCGGCACACTGGCGTTAGAATAGACAAATCCAGGTTTATTTCTATCTCTACAACTAGAATTTGAGTGACCTTGAGCAACTTAACCTAAATTTCCATTAACTGTAAAACGTGAGTTACCTTTATAATAGTAAAGCATGATAATTAATTTAGTCAATCACTTCAAGAATTTATTGTCTACTGTATGTCAGGTAGAGAAATAAATCATAAAAGCATCAAGTTAGATGCTTGGCACTAACAAACATTCAATAAACAGTATATTTTAAAAAATATATATCCTTCTGATTTCAAAATGTGTTCACTATAAACTTGAGGAATATACAGTATAGTAGACATATGTTTATCTGCTCAGCATTCCTTTCTTTGGGGAAGCAAACTGTTCCATTTCTATAAAAGCTCTCCTTGGCCCACGTTCACCCCCACAGGCATGCAACCCAGCTGCACCCAATTAGAATATTCCATCCTTCTGGCCACATGCCCAGGAATGGACATGCGAACCAAGCTGAGACAATCAGACTCTTCCCTGGGCTTTTTCTGGAATCCCAAGCTCTAAAGACTACGTGAGCATTGCAGAAGGCCATCTTGTTACCATCTGGGCATAGCCAGTCTGAAAAGGAAGCCAGAGACAAGGGATAGAGACACAGTCAAAGACTTGTTGATGTTGTCTGAGTCCCTGGATCCAGCCCTACCTGAAGCTGGTTTGACCCTTGGACTTGCAAGTTATAAAAGTCAATAAATGCCCTTTCCTTAAGTAGGACCAAGTTAAATTTCTGTCACTTACAACTAAAAGGGTCAGAATAAGATAAACAGAAAATCATGGTAAGTAAAAGAAATCACCCATAATCTCACAAACCAGAGAAACTACCATGACCTTTGAATGTGTGGTCCTCCCAGGTTTTACTAGGGTGATTATTTGCTTTGATTCATTTGTATGTTTTGGGAATGACTAGGGTGATTATTTTTAAAATAAGAAAATAGGCTTTCAAACCAGTAGGCTTGAATCCCGACTCTGTCATTTACTTAGTTGTGTTGTCCTTTACTTAGCTGTGTTGTGATATAAGTAACAATATATCAGAAGGTGACCTAACCTCTCTGATATACGGAACTTATATGGTTATGTTCTCCTTTTCTTGAAGTTGTAAGATGACATTTTAAAAGAGAAAGAAAAACAGACAGGTAACAGCTGGAAAACATAAAGGAAACAAGCAAGAAAAAAAGACTAAGCTTCCTGTACTGTTCATTCTTTATTACACTAGAATGATGGGCTCCAAGCAAATACTGAAGGGATGGGAAGGTGATGGTTGAAAGATCTAAGCACTTTCCAAGAGCTTTTTATTTGATTAATGAAAAACATGAGAATACGTGTCCAGATTTAAAACGAAACCAAAAAACTGGTCAAACAGTTCTCATGGCTACATCTGGATGAGCCATGTGATACATCAAAAGTTATGTTATTGATTAATTATCAAAGCTCATGAAACTTTTTTTCTATTACAGCAGATTATTCGTGGATGTTGTTAAAGTAACTTTGCTCACTCACTGAGATGGAATTATCAAAGCTCATGAAACTTTTCCTCTATTACAGCAGATTATTCACAGATGTTGTTAAAATAACTTTGCTCACTCATTGATATGGTTTGGCTCTGTGTCCCCATCCAAATCTCATCTCAAATTGTAATCCACACATGTCGAGGGAGGGCCTAATGGGAGATTATTGGATCATGGAGAGGGTTTCCCCCATGCTGTTCTTGTGATTGTGAGTGAGTTCTCATGAGATCTGATGGTTTTATAAGGGCTTTTCCCCCTTCACTCTCTCTTTCTTGACACCTTGGAAAGGAGGTATTTAATTCCCCTTCCACCATGATTGTAAGTTTCCTGAGGCCTCCCCATCCATGTGGAACTGTGAGTCAATTAAACCTCTTTATAAATTATCCAGTCTCAGGTATATCTCATTTTTTTCTTTTCTCTTCTATTTTTTTTTTTTTTGAGACAGAGTCTTGCTATATCACTCAGGCTGGAGTATAGTGGCCGATCTCAGCTCACTCTGCCTCCCAAATTCAAATGATTCTCCTGCCTCAGCTTCCTGAGTAGCTGAGATTACAGGAGTGTGCCACCGTGCCTGGCTAATTTTTGTCTTTTTAGTAGAGATGGGGTTTCACCATGTTGACCAGGCTGGTCTTGAGCTCTTGACCTCAAGTGATCCCCCTGCCTCGATCTCCTACTAAAGTGCTGGGATTACAGGTGTGAGCCACCACACCCAACCTCAGGTATTTCTTTATAGCAGCATGAGAACAGACGAATGCTTTCATAATATAGTAACTTCATTCGCTTTTACTTTCTTAAGTGGGAGATAAAAGACTAGCATTACAGCATAAGCCATCATTGAGCAAAGTCCATAAAGATCATAACTGATTAGCTGTGTTTTAACAAATTATTGTAGTGCTTTCCTCCTCTGAAAGGTCTGGGGTTTCATCAAAACCTGGGGATGCTAAATGCACATGTGTAAAAATCATCCATCCTGTGTCTTGAGAGAAAAAGTTAACGGTTGGTGCTCTGTAGAATACAGACCTGAGGAAGCAATGGTAGAGTTCAAATGGCACTGTCTGCAAATAAGGAATGGTACTCATGGCCTTGGATGGCCACATTAATGTATGGAATATAGACCAAAGAAAAGACTTTTCATATTTTGAGCCAAAATGAACCTCTATTCATTCATATCACTGGAACAAAGAGAATGAGAAATAATAGAATGGGAGGAAACGCCTTGTCTGAAACAACATAGTTAAGAGAAGGGAGCAGGGAACAGACTGTGCATATAGTAGCCAGAATATATAGGAATCTAAGAATCTCAACTGCAAGATTCAGTTTTGAGGAGTTGAGTCGACATTTAAAAGAAAAGAAGAAAATCCAGTCCATTGTGTTGTTTTGAGAGTGACCAACCTTCTCAGACACCGACCCTCGGGATGAACCCTCCAGGTCCTCATGTACACGATCCAGCAACCAGAGCAGGAATTCCAGAGCGTCGTGCTGGGAATTGCCTTGGAACTGAGAGCCATACTTGGAAACTGCATTCTGAAAGGAAAAAAGGAAATTCAGAGGTGAATTTGGCCCCTTATACAACCAAATGAAGACTATGTGAGCACCAGGTCTACCAAGTGGTCATTATTCATCCCTGACCTGGGATGACAGCATGCAAACAGCCAGGATAGAAATGTTCTTTCTTGCCAAAGTCCACCCTTCTGGGGCAATGTCCCCAAACAGTATGAGGGTCTCTGTATATGGGGGAAGAAGTTTTCTTTCCAGAGGACTGCTGATGTATGTCCTATCCTTTGAAAACCCACAGGGTTGTCTCTGTTGAATATTTTGATACTGTTGACCATCTGACCCACTGAAGCTTTCTTCCTGTGACTGCTGCAATCCAATGCTCCACTAGTCTTGCCCCCACTGGTGTATTCTCACTCTGTCTCTCTCTGTTCACCTATGTGATGAACAGGCTTCTCTCCCAACTTTCTCTCCCTCACTGATTTTACTCATTCTGATAGCTTCCACTCTTTCTTCTTTCAGAATATCCACATTTGCAGTGAAGTTGATTTCCTTAAATACCATGTATGTAGCTCCTCTGCTGCCTCTTTCTAATATGTATGAAATTTAAGGATACAAACTTGTTTCTGTGGGTTAGATCATCAGATGGTTGAGCCAGCCCTTCACTCCTTTGACAAGTATGTATTGAGTGCCAACCACATGCCAGGCACTATTCTAGGGACTGGGAATACAACAGTGAACAAAACAGATAAAGTCTCACTGCCCTCGTGGTGTTTCCATTCCTGGTACCCCTTGCACTGTCCTTCTGTTAAACTGTGTAGCAATTTTGTCATTTTCTGCATACATGCCCATTCCAGCTTTTTAAAAGTTTATTTCAAAGAGTAATATATGCACATCCTAAAAAACAATAATTCAATAAAAAAGGATGATAATAAAGTCTTCTTTCTACCTGGCCTCCATTCCACGGTACCCCTTCTCAGGGGGCAGTCACTTTTACCAGTTCCTTAAACATCTTTCCAGGGACTTTTGTTATACATGTGTAAGCATACGGGCATCTGGGTGGAAGCAAATCACTTGTCTGTGTGTGCACACATGCATATGCACACAGCACATTATGGCTGTGGGCCCCACTCTTAGACTGCAGAGCCAAGCCTCCAGCCTCATCCCACGCAGCTGTGTTCTCTGTTCACGTCTGCCAAAGGGACTGGTCTTAGCAAGGCTGAGGACCAGGACAATCCTTACCACTGTCATTTAAATCAAATGGTCTGGGTTTTTTTTTTTTTCCCCCTTTCATTCTTTCTTTTAATTTTCCCTTGAGATTTAAAAGAGACTTTTAAAGGCCAGGCACAGTGGCTCATGCCTGTAATCCCAATACTTTGAGAGGCCTAGGCGGGTGGATCGCTTGAGGTCAGGAGTTCAAGATCTGCCTGGCCAATATGGTGAAACCCCATCTATACTAAAAATACAAAAATTAGTCGGGCATGGTGGCAAGTGCCTGTAGTCCCAGCTATTCGGGATGCTGAGGTGGGAGGATCCCTTGAGCCCAGGAGTTCTAGGCTGTAGTGTGCTATGCCAATCGGGTGTCCACACTAAGCTCAGCATCAATACGGTGACCTCCCAGGAGCAGCGGACCACCAAGTTGCCAAAGGAGGGGTGAACCGGCCCAGGTTGGAAATGGAGGTCAAAACTCCTGTGCTGATCAGTGGTGGGACCACACCTTTGAATAGCCACTGCACTCCAGTCTGGGCAACCATCTCTAAAAAATAAAATAAAATAAATACAAAAATTAGCTGTGCATGGTGGTACATGAATGAAATCCCAGCTACTTGGGAGACTGAGGCAAGAGAATCACTTGAACCCAGGAGGTAGAGGTTGCAGTGAGCAGAAATCGCACCACTGTATTCCAGCCTGGGTGACATAGTGAGACACTGTCACAAAAAAAATAAAAATAAAGGAGACTTTAGGATGAGACAAAGCAAAAATGCAAGATTTAATTAATTGAAATGCTGGTTCTGACTTTTTTTTTTTTCAAGACGGAGTTTCACTCTTGTTGCCCAGGCTGGAGTACAATGGTGCAATCTCAGCACACTGCAACTTCCTCCACCCGGGTTCAAGTGACTCTCCTGCCTCAGCCTCCCAAGTAGCTGGGATTACAGGCACCCACCACCACACCCAGCTAATTTTTTTTATTTTTAATAGAGATGGGCTTTCACCATGTTGGCCAGGCTGGTCTTGATCTCCTGACCTCAGGTGATCCGCCCACCTTGGCCTCCTAAAGTATGGCTCTGAGTCTTTATGCCAATCACATTAGTTTGGATTCTCCCCCCAGGCTTCTCTGCACGTTGATTCCCAAGTAGGGCTACCAGATTTAGCAAATAAAAATACAAGATGCCCAGTTAGATTTGAATTTCACATAAACAATGAATATATTTTTAGTAGAAATACGTCTGTTCCATGCAATATTTGGGATGTATTTACACTAAAAAGCTATTCATTTTTTATCTGCAATTAAAAGTCAGCTGGGCATGGTATATTTTTCATCTGGCAGCCCTACCCTCAAACAACCCTGAAACCCATCTTCTTGTACCAACATTCTCTTCTGGGTGAGCAGCCGTCCCTTCGAAATGAAATCTCTAAAACCAGCTCATCCCTTTAATGTAGTGTCATCTTTCAGGTTCTGTTTCATATCACTCAGCTGTCAAGGAGTCTGGATGCTGTTCCCAAATGTCTCCACCCTTCCCCTATAGAAAAGTCTCATGCCAACTGCTGACTGAGTTCCACTTACAGCTGACCCAGACAACAATATCTACCTAGGTTCACCCCTTGCCAACCCACTAACTTCGTGGTAGACCAGGCCAATTTTCCTACAGCTCGGCTGGCTATTGTCATGCCCTGACTCTAAATCTTCCTTATTCTCCTGCTTACTACCAAATAGTCCAAGCACCCTCTCTGGTTCAGCCCCAAGCCATATCATTCCATGTTTCAAAGCTCCAGGTAAGTAATCCACCTAGCTGCCCCAAACATGCTTTCCTACCTCTGCAGTCTAGACCTTTACTTTTTTTTTGAATCGCAGTTTTGCTCTTGTCGCCCAGGCTGGAGTACAGAATGGCATGATCTCGGCTCACTGCAACCTCCACCTCCTGGGTTTGAGCAATTCTCTTGCCTCAGCCTCCCGAGTAGCTGGGATTACAGGCACCTGCTATCATACCTGGCTAACTTTTGTATTTTTAATAAAGACAGGGTTTCACCACATTGGCCAGGCTGGTCTCGAACTCCTGACCTCAGATGATCTGCGCACCTCAGCCTCCCAAAGTGCTGGGATTACAGGCATGAGCCACTGTGCCTGGCATAGAACTTTGCTTTTGTTCTTCCTTGCATGTGAAATCTATTCCTCTTCAGTTAATCACGATGATCCTTTAAGACTGACACTCTTCATCTTAGCTTGGCTATCGTACCTGACCATCTTTCCAGAAAGGAAGTGACAACTTCAAGAAGTAAGACATGATAGGGCCTTAAAAATGTCCCTCTCCATAAACAGCAATTCCATTTTTGGGGATTTCATCTAAGGAAATGAGAGATACAAGCAGATATGTCTTTACGTGTCAAAGTTATCTGGGTGAAAACTTATGACACAATCATATTAGATGTCCTTAAAATTTATGACTGAGGAAATACAAATGATAAAGAAAATAATAATCTGGTCATAAGAAGAGAAAAAAGTGCAAAAATACGTATTTGAGATTGTTCTATGTATATATTTGTAGATAGAAAAATAAAAGACCAGAAAATAGATGGCAAAATAGTAGCAAATAGTTATCATAGAATAATGGAATCATGAGCAATTTTTTTCATTTTCATTTGTAAATGACAAAGTTTTTTTTAACAGTGTTTAACAGTTTTTTGTCTTTTTCCAATTATAAAGTATTTGGCAGGTATTTCTCAAAAAAAATTTTGAATAACCTATTGATGACTACAGAAGTCATTCCCATAGAAAGACTATGGAAACATAACCAGAACCGCATAAAGCAGTTCCCAAGCAGTTAACTAGCTTGGGAAGAATGAACTGCAGCATTTGGTTACTTATCTCACATCTTTTTTTTTTTTTTAATTTATGTATTATACCTTAAGTTCTGGGGTACATGTGCAGATTGTACAAGTTTGTTACACATGCCATGGTGGTGGTTTGCTGCATCCATCACCCTGTCATCTACATTAGGTACTTCTCCTAATGCTATCCCTCCCCAATCCCCCACCCCCTGCTATTCTTTCCCTAGTTCCTCACCTACCTCTTTTTTTTTTTTTTTTTTTTTTGAGCTGAGGTCTTGTTATGTTGACCAGGCTGGTCTTGAACTCCTGGCCTCAAGTGGTCCTCCCATCTCAGCCTCCCAAAGTGCTAGGATTATAGGCATAAGCCACCATGCCCAGCCCTATATTTGGTTATTTCTCTCTTTCAACGTGGCATAACTCTACCTGTGTGTATGTTTTCTTTACCAAACATTGATAATTTTTAACATTTCTTATTAAAATTATTTCTAGTCATTTTATATTTCTGGTTGTTAATCCAATTTTATATGTTCTAAATGGTTATTTCTTTGACTTTCTACCTTCCATCTGATGTCATTAATGACAGTGATAAAGCTAAAATAAGGATTTCTAGAATGTTTTAGCGATTTGCTTTGTGTAATATTTTTTACTCCATTTCCATTTTCCATCTTACTGTTTTGTCCAGAACTTTCAAAACATAAGAGTGATGAAGAAGGTATCCTTATTTTTAAAAAGCAATGTCTCCAGTATATCACTGTAGATCTAAAATTGATGCTTAAGCACGTAAGCTAATATAAATTCCAAATGGCTAAAATTTTTAATATAACCATAGAAAAGGTAGAACATAAAATCAAATATTTATCAAAAGGTATGATATACCATTTAACCCAGCAATGCTATTACTGGGTATATAGCCAAAGGATTCTAAATCATTTTACTATAATGATTTAGAATAAATATACCACATGCACAGGTATATTTATTGC